CAGAATTGCCTTTATTTCAGTAAACCGATCGGTGAACTAGTCCTGTGAAGAAGCGTCATGAAGATACTGCATGGCTTCCTCACGCTGCTCCTTTCGTGAGGTTCCATGAGGAGGCTGTAGCACAAAAAGCTGTAATTGGCGAAGCTGGCACAGGTAAAATAAGCGAATGTAAACCAAATTCCCGTTTTACTGGCCGTTGTCGATTTCAATTAGGATGTTTATTCGATTTCAAATATGAAAGTTGACAAGTTGCATTGGCAAGTAGTGCTGCGGGTGCGCACGGATGGATCGCGGACCTTTTGATGATGCTGTTGTTTCTTTTATTTTCTCCAAATTTGTTTCTCAAATCGTGGTGTGACGACAAACAAAAGCAAGTACAAAGCTGTGATGGCTGCTGAAGTAGTTGCTTCATGCCTTTAGCGGAATCGCATGTTGACCCACTGGGCCTCTTACTTGCATCGTTTTATTTCAACTTTTTTATAATTGTATATGTATATTTTATAATCATATTTTTTTTCTTTCCTAAAACAGCGCGGAGAGGTCTTTCTACTGAGTGTATTATTAGATAGGAATTTTTTCCTTAAAAAAGAATTATTAACCCAACGGAAAGTTGCCGTGCTGAAGACAACATCAACCCTGATGAGGGTTCAGTAAAGCTCGAAAGGAAAATGTGGTTGCTGAGAAGGGAATAATAGGAGTGTTTGTGCTGCTATAGTTAGTGCACTGACAAAAAAAAGCGCTGAGGGGCAAATTCAATTCTTGGTTCATTCAGCGCTCAGATTTCAGCCCTAACTCAGCCTTGTTATGGTGCCGCTCTCGTCTAGAACGACTTCAATGGGGAGTATTGTCAAATGGACCAAAGCGAGAATATACAACTACATGGCTCCATCAAAAGACGTCTTTGGAAAATCACGCCGTTTTATTTGGCGCTACAATATCATTATCACAAGGATTATGAAACGAAAATGTATTTAAGGGTTTAAAGAAATTGCTATTGAAGGGTTATACTGCACGGTATTTTTTCAGTACTGAACACGTAGTAATGTTGACCGCTTCTTCTAGTCAAACTGGTTTTTTCGATGATCATCACACTTTACTCTACACAGCATGACAGCGGAATGTGCTGAGGTCATGAATCAGTGTTTTATCTGGAAACCCAAAAAAAGAGTTGAATGTTACCTGTCCATTAGTGATTTGTAGCATTCCTGATTTTAGATTGGATCCATAAAAATCAGAGGTGAGGCTACATTTGATTTTACTAGTAAAAATAAGGTACAATTGCAATTTTGTTCAGAACTGACAAAATATTACATAACTTAGTATAATAAAGATGTATCAAAATAGTTACAAATTCAGTATGAGTTTTACCAATCGCTATGTCCCTGCCGAGAAGGCGATTGCGAAATATTCCCTTTGAATTTCTTGTGAGCCAACAAACTAATGTGCTACTGAATCTATGCATTGAGGACAAGGAGGACTTTCTACAGATAGGTTCATTCCTCATTTTGCGAGGAGGCTCACAAGTTCTTGCTCGCCCTGCGTCTTTTTGTCTGTCGTTTTCTTAGGG